CAATAAAATAAGTTTATTTCAGTATTTAACCTTCCCGTATCTAACTTTGGAAACTGGTGTATAAAAAATTGAAGGGTTTGTTTCATTTAGCCCAGCAGATCTTGAATCTCCTCTGCCATCAAAATGAGGTTCACTTTGAGTACATTTACTACTTTCTTCTTATACAACAGGAATGTTGCACAGGGTTGGGGTGTGACCATACACACGCAGAACTACTGCTAATTTCATTAAAAGTTTTAGAAATTTTACTTTCAGCAGAGATTTCACTCCATAAGGAAATGAACCCATCTATGCATTAATCTCTAGAATTTTAATGGAAATAGGAGAGAATTTTTAACCCAGACTTAAATGCATGTTTTATTGTCTACAGAGTAGCCAATCCTCATTTACAATACCTAAGTGTAAATCAGAAGTGATTCCATGAAATTCGAGGGGGTTACAACACTGGTGTATGATCACAGAAGTGAGGGGAGAATCTGACCCATAGAATCATGAAATGTAAGAATCTGGATATATGACTGGAAAGCAAAACTGTATTTAAATTCATCCTAGTTTGTTGAGGAATTAATTCTAAGAAGTTACTGAGCCAGGTTCAGCCCTTACTCGTGAGAAATTCTTACGGAAGTCAGTGGGAGTCAACATCTGAGGAAAAACTTCAAAATTTGTCTCTAAGACAATAATTATGTCTTGAAATGACATAATGTAAAAATTATTAAATCTTACAACAATATATATTGGCTCTGACTTTGACTAAATAATTCAGGGAAGTTTGAATAATATTTAGCCTCTGAATCATTGTAATAATTATGCGTGCATTTAGAACAGAATAACGAAAGCATTTAGCAATATTGTTTTCTGCACTAAATAAGACTGTGTCAGCCCTTCCATTATTTATTTCTGTATTCAGGGGTATATAACTCAATTGTTAACATTTTCTTTGGACTGAAACAAAGAAGTGCTACTAATATACTAGTTTCAGGGTTTGTTTATGTTGTGTCTGTCTCAACTTGAAAATTAATCTCTGATGTGAACTCCTAAATTATGTCCTCTATAAATATGCAATCACTTCCAGCAAAGCATAGTCAGTCTGAATTTTGGTTCAGTTTGACTATTCAATATGGGGAAGGAATTAAGGAGAATTCCCTTGCCCTCTGTGATCCACACGTGGAAGGGGTTAAGGAGACATAAAAGCTCACCAGAAATGCACTTGGAGAAGCACAGAGATGCTACCAAGATCCCTCGGGGCATGCATCACCCTAAAGGGAGTGGAGAGGGGTGGTTATGTATCTCTGCACTGTTCTCAGCACATGACCTAACTCTTTATGAATACACATATAATGTAATGTTATTGCTCTGGTCAATATTCAAAATAAAAACATTAGGAGAAAAATCAACTCTCTTTTAAGGAATGGAATATTCCATCCAAAGGGTTCACCTCCTATCCAAGAGTTTTTCAGCTTGTCTCCCACATCCTGGACATTCCACTATTTTAAATATACTTTTTTTGTAGGTTTTTAATACTCTCACAGTTCAGGGCAACTGCACATATATTCCCTTTCCATGGTCCAGCAAGGACAACCACTCTATGCTCTCAGCTGGTCAGCTGTCACCTCCCTTGGGCAGAGACCTACATCTCTCTCCCTCCTGACCAGAGTTTTTCCAGGCTGCACAGTTCCCTGTTTACACTGTGATATTCGCAGCAAGTCAAACTATCCAAAAAGGCCAGTGTCTATGCTTTGCTTTCTCTTTGAAGGCTATGAATGGCTCTGATTGCCTGCACTAACAAGTCAACACACAGCAAGTATATTTATTCTTAACGTGAAAGTGTTATCGAGAAAACATATTAAAAACAATGAAATAACCTACATGCCTGTTAACAAATTTACCAGAGCTCACCCCCCAACTCCATCAAAGGCTCTGACAGGAGTCAGTCCTTCAAACCCCACCTTCTTCTGTGGTTACAAATTCATAGCAGCCTTAGCTTAGAACCAGAACAACCATGAATACTTCAGTTTTTCCTTTAGACAGCTTGGCCCTTTGATCTTGGCCTCAGGTGATCAGCAGACAAAGGCTCAGGGTGGAGCTTCAAAAGGCTGGGTTTTTGCATAACTGAGGGTGGGGAATTTGCATTCACCTCCAGCTAGATATTTATAAGGAAATACCCTTCACATCTGCTGTCCCAAAAGACCCTTCTTGTTTGCCATATTGTTCAATATAGTCCTTTGACTATCCAGGCCCACAATAATACATAACCTTTCCATTTGATACAATGGACTCCAAATATACTTGAACTTAATTCAGCAAGGTTTTTCAAGGATATTGCTGGAAATTGCCAAATCTGTCACAAATACTATGAGCCAAATGTTGCTCTTCTCACATAGGCAAAGCATCCTGCCCAGGCTAATAGGAATTTGCATCAGAAATGGTAACAGATTTACCCATACGATTATTTCAGCATGTTTGAATAATCTTCCAATAGATTACAGGTTAGGATCCAGTCCAGCAAAGCACTTAAGTATGTGCTTAAATTTAAGCATATGCCTAAGCCTATTCTTAGACAACAAAGAACTTTTAGAACATGTTTTATCAAGGCAAGCACTTACATTGTTATGCTTCCAATGTTAATTTCAGATTGTGATTGCTGCTCTGCTCAGAGTCTTCCTAGCTCCAATTTTTGCTAATGATGTAAGTATAATGATCAACTCTTATCAAAATGTTTCTTTTGGGCTGTATGAGTTTTCATATCTGAAAAATAAATTTCTGAAAAGGAATCTAAGATTTCCTTAGTGCATTAAACTGACATAGCACAAGATTGTGTTTGCGTGCTAAAGAAAATATTTAGTTTGTTTACTTACTGAGGGGGAAAACTCAATTATTGGCAGTTTAGGAAACATCAAATTATATTTTGATACTAGTATAAATATTATGAAATCATTGTGTGGCGTGGTGGGATAATGATAGCATTGAGGATTTGATCACAGAAACACAGTACAATGATATCAACTAATGTCTGTTTGCAGATTAATAAAGGCGAGAGCTGGATGGGAAATGCATTTTTTTTTCATGAAATCTGTTAGATTGCTATTGTAGGCAAGCTTATCGTATCATCCCCTCCATAAATGTATCAAGATCACTCTTGAAATGAGTTAGGTTTTTTGTCCCCACTACTAGTCTTGGAAGACCGTTTCAGAACTTCACTCCTCTGATGGTTAGAAACTTTTTTCTAATTTCAAGCCTAAAATTGTTGATGGCCAACTTATTTCTATTTGTTCTTGTGTCAACATTGGCTCTTAACTTAAATGACTCCTCTCCCTTCCTGGTATTTATCCCCCTAATGTATTTATAGCATAATCATATTCCCCTCAGCCTTTGTTTGGTTAGACTAAACAAGCCAAGATCCATAAGTCTCCGCTTGTAAGGTAGGTTCTCCATTCCTCTGATCATGCTTGTAGCCCTTCTCTGCACCTGTTCCAGTTTGAATTAATCTTTCTTAAACATGGGAGACCAAAACTACACACAGTACTCCAGATGAGGTCTCACCAGTGACTTGTATAATGGTAATTCCTTATCTCTACTGGAAATACCTCACCTGATGCAGCCCAGGATTGCATTGGCCTTTTTCACAGCTACGTTACATTGGTAGTTCAGTCACCCTGTGATTGATCATACACCCAGGTCTTTCTTTTCCTCTGTTACTTCCAACTGATGTGTCCCCAGCTTATAGCAAACATTTTTGTAGTTAATCCCTAAATGCATGACTTTGCACTTTGCTCTATTAAATTTCATCCCATTTCTATTACTCCAATTTTCAAGGTCACCCAAATCTTCTTGCATGATATTCTGGTCCTCCTCCATATTGGCAATACCTCCCAGCTTTGTGTCATCTGCACATTTTATTAGCACACTCCCGCTTTTTATGCCAATGTCATTCATTAAAATATTAAATAAGATTGATCCCAAGACTGATCCTTGAGGAACTCCACTAGTAACCTCCCTCCTGCCTGACAGTTCACCTTTCAGCATGACCTACTGTAGTCTCCCCTTTAACCAGTTTCTTACCCACCATTTGATTCTTCTTTTAATCCCCATCTTCTCCAATTTAACTAATAATTTCCCACGTGGAACTGTATCAATCAAATGCTATACTGAAGTCCAAGCAGATTAGATCTACTGCATTTCCTTAACTAGAAAATTGGGTATCTTCTCAAAGAAAGAGATAAGGTTGGTCTAGTATGATCTACCTTTTCCAATTCCATGCTGTATTTTATCCCAATTACCATTTAACTCTATGTCCTTAACTGCTTTCTCTTTCAAAATTTGTCCTCACACCTGGCATACAATTGAAGACAAACTAATGGGCCTGTAGTTTCCCAGATCACTTTCCCCCTCCCCATTCATACTGTATTTGCAATTCTGCAATCACAGGGTATGACCCCTGTGTTTACAAATTAGCTCTGAGTTACTACAGATAATTCTTTCCCAAGTATTTGACTGGTGGCACTTGCTCATATGCTCAGGGTCTAACTGATTGCTATATCTGGGGTTGTGGAGGAATTTTTCTTCAGGTCAGATTGGCAGAGACCCTGGCGGGGGAGGGAGGTGCCTTCCTCTGCAACATGAGGCATGGGTCACTTGCTGGTTTGAACTAGAGTAAATGGTAAATTCTTTGTAACTTGAAGTCTTTAAATCAAGATTTGAGGACTTCAGTAACTAGAGGTTATGGGTCTATTACTGGAGTGGGTGGGTGAGGTTCTGTTGCTTGTGATCTGCAGGAGGTCAGACTAGAGGATCATGATGGCCCCTTCTGGCCTTACAGTCTGTGAGTCCATGAGTCTAAGAACCTTTATGCTTTGGTTCAGATAGTTTTAGAAGCATCCCAGCCACTTCCCAAAGTCTCTCTGTTATAGCCCTTTAATGTGATTTTAAGGCCAATGATTTTCCATAGCATTGGTTATGGAAATGGATTTATAGAACTGAGCTTTAGAAATCTAAACACATAAATGCTTGTCTTCAAAAAAACCCCACAAAAACAGAATGTGAATGAAAACAATCAGGGAAACAATGGCAGAAACTCCCACCAGACTGTGAGCATCAATAACGATAAGCACGTGGCCAACATTGACTCAAACAACGGCTGGAACTCATGGAACTCCGTCTGGGACTACGGCAATGTAAGTGGCAAACATGCATTTTTGGAGACTCCTTGAGCCAATAGCTCTGTGCATTCTGCTCCAGTGGATTGGGGCATCAGTCACTAGTAAGTAACTGCACTGAAAACAATGGAGTTATGCCGTGTAAATAAGACTCCAATGAGCCTGATTTGCTTCTCACCACCTGTGTTACACTGATGTCATAGGAACTATTTTTGATTTATGCCTGTATAAGGGAGAGAAGAAACAGGCTTGAAAAAAGAATTATTTTAGTTTACATTAAAATTCAAAACTGGTAGAGTAGTTCTCACTGAAGCCAAGGAAAGTATGAGCAAGACCAGTTAGGTGCAAACTTTCAAACATACACTTCTCTTGCAATCTAAATCTGAATCCAGATCTTCCATGGCAAAAGAATCAAGCATATGAGGAAAAGATTTTCAAAAGTGCCTGGGAGTGCCAATGGAACTTTTACTCCTAAATCCTTCTGGGGCTCTGAAAATGTCCTGGGTAACCTTTTTACTACTTCTGGTGCACTATGTGCTGCATCAGCATTATCAATTGAGCACCCATTCACATGCCTGAAACAGCAGAGCGGACCAATCATATAGCAGCACTGAAATGCTCATTTGCTTCATCCATGATAAAAATGCCCCCGTCATCATGATACTATCCCTTAACAAATAAAATTCAGAAACACCATTTGCTTGCACTATAGCAAGTCTCTACACTACACATTTCTCAATACTACTTCGTCTATTTTTTGAGCCCCAAGTTCCATTGCTTATTTCATTTGTGACCAAAGAGTGGAGCTGCTTTGAAACAAAATGCCACTCTCTCTGTAATTTTATTTTGCAGGGTTTCATTTCAACCAGGATACTTTCAAAGAAAGCCTGCATCATTGCTAAAATTAACGAAAAAGTTATGCCTGATGTTGTAGAGCTTCCCCAGCTGATTAAAGAAAAGATGGTAAGAAGGAGGGGAAAGGTGGGGATGATTGGTGGGGGGTGGGGCTAGGGAGTTTGCTTGTGAAAATGCATCATCTTAAAATGGTAGAAAAAGGCAAAGGCTGCTGTAGCAAAAGGCACGTTTCTCGCCATGCATGGTTTACTTCAAGCCTTTATTATGGAGCCTTATAGCCTCATTCTTTGTTGCCTTGCACCTTCTGCCGTCATTTACAACAGAACAAAGCGGGTGTAAAATGCTACTAAACGGATCTGGTAGTGTTTTATACTCATTTTGCACCTCTTAGCAGTCCACTGGTGAAAGTGACTGCCCAGGGTGTGGGTTAATGGTGAACTGGACCCCTAGTTTGCATGAGTAGTGATGAAAGAAAAAGGTTTTTAGATGGCAGTGGAAATATTGGCAGCATTTCACTGTTCCAGTGACTCTTTCCAGGGCACTTTTGGGGTCTTCAGCCCTTAGCCCTTCTTAGTTTCTCCACTTGTGCCCTACGGGAGAGCTAAGCAATGGAGTTGACTCTCAGCTTGCTCCTGATATGTTAGGCTGTACCCACATTGTCACAAGCTGTGCACTCTTAGGAATTTCACAAAGAGGATCATGATTTTATTAAATGCTGTTATTCTGGGTTTGCTTACTGAATATTTAGAAGGCCGGCTCTCGAGGGCCTCCCCCAGTGGAACTGCGATTCACCGTCTCAGAAACCAGAGTCAGTGACTTGGCCCTGTATGGGAAGTCTGTTGAAGCTATGTGCAGAGGAATTCCAACCTATGTTGCTCGCGAAGCTCGTGAGTACAGATTTAACTAACATTTCATGTCGCAAAACCACCCAGGGTATTTACAATATGAAACATGGCAAGTGTGTCACTTTCCTAAGTGGAAAAGAGCCAGAAGCAACCTGGGGTGTTTCAGGAAGGCATCAGGATCTGAACCCAGCTCTGGATCTGAATTTTGCAGGCAATCTCTATAAGGGGCTGAACCCGAAGTCCAGATCCCACCATACCTGGATTTTATGGGGTTCAAAATACAGAAAAGAATTTTGCAGCTCAGGCTCTCATCTAAAATTTTAAATGAATACTCACATATCTTTCTTTCCACTCCCCAAAGTGATGGAGAAATGCAAGGATTTCTTTATTCCCTCACCATCCTTGCAATCTCCTTACAGAGCAGGTTTAGAGGCTGTTAGAGCTGCATGTAACTTGTCCACTCTCCACTCTATTCCCTCATCTTGTAATATATCACCCAAATCAATTTTGTCTGCTCTCAAGCATTGCAACTGCCTTCCAATTAATTGGACTCTTAAATGAGGTTTGATAGCCTCGAAATCTTTCTCTATAAAACAGAATGCTAAAAATCTGAGGAAGAATGTATTTGAGAGCACTAAATGCCTCATTCCACTTCAGTGGCGAGCAGGGTCATTTTGATTAAGGATAAAGGAAGTTTTCATAGAAATTTAAAGTATTTAAGCTCTGTAAAAATAATATGAAATCGTGTAATGTTAGGATATTGCTTATTTCATAGCACTTGTATGGCCAAATTATTGTGATAAACTTCCTTTATTGTTTGAAACAATGGCGGGGGGGGGGAAATGGAGCTGTCTGTGGAAATTGCTAATGCATTCATTTTTCCACCACTGGCTTTTCCTTCTTTGTGCTGAATATTGCTCCAATAAATGATAAAGACTGACTCATGTTTAAAGTTTGGAGAAATAAGAAAAATCATCACATTAAAGTAAAAAACTACTTTTTCCCTGATAAACAAAGACTAGAGCAACACAGCTGCACTGAAACAAATTGCTTAAAGAAATTGTTTGCTTAAATCTGAGGTTTTTTTAGGTGGCATAATTGCCTTTGTTTTCTCTTCTGCAAATCATGGCCTAATTGTAGATGGGAAAGAAATTGGTCTTTTTATTTTGATGAAGCTAGGTCATGCTAGCTTAGGTCATGTATGTAAATAGGACTGAGGATAAAGGCTTATATGCCATTTAAATTCCATTTCAGACCTTTTTAATAATTTAAGTCAGACTTAAGAGATGAGTGGAACTCATGCTGGCTCTCTCCACAAGGGTGAACTTCACCTGGATTTGTGCGGACCTAGATGGTTCAGAGGACAATCTTATGGCAGAAGTATCTCCTTTTTGATTTTCAGCAAAGTACGTTGAGATGCCACGGTATTGCTTTGAAAATCTCATAGTCTCCCTATTCAGTTGTGGATTTTTTGATGGTTTTTTTTTTTTTTTTTTTTTCTATTTATTGGAATACTCAGTAGTTGTCAGTTTTTTATAATGTAGAAACCCAGCGTGACTTTAAGACTGGTACTAAACGAATAATGATTCTTTTTCAGAGTTACTGGGCCCTATTACCCACTTTGTTACTCCCATTTTGCACTGGTGTGATTGCACTGATTTCAGGGCAGCCATATTGAACTGAAATTGAACCAACCCAATGTTGAATCTGGCCCATTATTTCCTTTTGAGTTGAATCTTTGCTACTTATAGTTAGCAAGATTTTAAAGATGACTAATCAGTACTGAAAAATAAAATGGAAAAAAATAGAAGAAACGTCAGGGCATGGAGGGATAAACCATTCTCTGTTGATTGCTGACATCACAGTCACACAGATATGCCAATACGGGCAATGTAAATATCTAAGATAGACGAATAGATATCCAAGTAGTAATGTCCAAGTGGTCCTGAAACTGAACCAAAGCCCATGGAAATAATGTTTTCATCAACTTCAATGAACTTTGGATCATGCTTCAGTATATTAAAATTCTGTTTGCATCAAAGGAGTATTTTTTCTGATTATAGTAACTCATTTTCATACAAAAGAATTAACTGTAGGGCACGTGGAATTTTAATGCTCTTACTCACAAATTAATAATCCACTCATTCCCACATCATGCTCGTGCATTGCGGGCTTTTATTAGATGGCATAGACCTTGTATGGTTTGGATTGAATGGGAAATGGTTTGGAGTGTTCTTTGCAGGAGAATTATTCAGGACGGTAATGAATGGATGACTGTGATAACATCCTTAGCCATCACCGGATATTAATTTTTGTTTTTCTTTTTCCCTTAGGAGACAACTTTTTCTTTTATTCTGGACAATGTTTCAAGACTAATATAATGGACGTGATGACATTTAACTATTGCGGTGAAACTGCATCTTTCAAATAAAATTGCTGCTGATAGAATCCAGCTAGCGATGCCCTCACTGATTAGACAAATAATAATTTTGTTGCTGTTCTTTTCATGATCGTGTTATCAGATATGTGTTTTCCTCTCCTCCATATGTTTTCTGTGTAGAAGAAATCTAGGCTGTTACAATATCTGTCAATAAAGGAATTAGTCAGTTATGCCATGTTTCTAATAATTTCTGTCTTCTGTCACGGACACTGGCTCAGGATGTGATCTGAGAGGTTAAACAGGTTTGGACCTGGTTAGTATTTGGATGGGAGACCATAACGAAAGAGAACCTTGGGGCTGCATGCAAGGAGGCTAATGATTTAGAGCAGAGGTGGGCAAACTACGGCCCGCGGGACCGTCCTGCCTGGCCCTTGAGCTCCCGGCTGGGGAGGCGAGCTCCCGGCCCCTCCCCTGCTGTGCCTCCTGCCCCATAGCCTCAGCTTACCATGCCACCAGCGCTCTGGGTGGCGGGGCTGCAAGCGGCTGGCTGGCTCTGGCTGGACGGCAGGGCTGCCAGTCCTGGTGCTCTGAGCAGCATGGTACGGGGGCGGGGGGTGGAGGGGTTGGATAGGGGGTGGGGTCCCAGGAGGAAGCGGTCAGGGGACAAGGAGCAGGGGAGGGGCTGGATGGGTCGGGGGTTTTGAGGGGAGCAATAAGGGGGCGGGAAATGGGAGGGGGCAGATAGGGGGCGGGGGCCAGGCTGTTTGGGGAGGCACAGCCTTCCCTACTTGGGCCTCCATCCAGTTTCAGAACCCCAATGTGGTCCTCAGGCCAAAAAGTTTGCCCACCCCTGATTTAGAAGGTTGCAGTCTCCCATGTCAGTCATGAACCAGTTTCCCTGTGTGATGTTAAGGAACATTCTGGTGCTTTCCATTAATTGAAACTGAGATCCTGAACATGCGGGCCCTGAAGAAATCAATGATTCTTTTTGCAAGAATAGGGTTAATGGTAGTGTACTTGCCAAATTCCAATTAGGGCAAATAAATATGATTATCTAAAATTTCCCACTGCAGTTTTAATTGGCTATGGTACACTGATTCATTTCCTGAAGTAAACTCTTACTGAACATTGTTAAACAACAGCTGCATTCCGTTCCAAGGTAGCTGTATTTCAGTAAGGCTTATTGACCAAGATGGCTATTTAAGCATCAATAAACTTATGATTGAAATAATAATTATTGAAATCCAGATGCATTATATATTATGTATATAAATATTTTTGGATGTTTTTTCTACATTTTCAAATAAAATGATTTCCATTACAACACAGAATACAAAGTGTACAGTGCTTACTTTATATTATTTTTATTACAGATATTTGCACTGTAAAAATGATAAACAAAAGAAATAGTATGTTTGAATTCACCTCATTCAAGTACTGTAGTGCAATCTCTTTATTGTGAAAGTGTAACATACAAATGTAGATTTTTCTTTTGTTGTATAACTGCGCTCAAAAACAAAACTATGAAAAACTTTAGCGCAGACAAGTCCACTCAGTCCTACTCCTTGTTCAGCCAATTGCTAAAACAAGTTTGTTTACATTTACGGGAGGTAGTGCTGACTGCTTCTTATTTACACTGTCACCTGCAAGTGAGAGCAGGCATTCACATGGCACTTCTGTAGCCAGCATTGCAAGGTGCCAGATATGCTAAACATTCATATGCCCCTTCATGCTTCGGCCACCATTCCAGAGGACATGCTTCCATGCTGATGATGCTCATTAAAAAAATAATACATTAATTATATTTGTGACTGAACTCCCTGGGGGGAGAACTGTGTGTCTCCGGCTCTGTTTTACCCACCTTCTGCCGTATATCTCATGTTACAGCCGTCTCGGATGATGACCCAGCACATGTTCGTTTTAAGAACACTTTCACTGCGGATTTGACAAAATGCAAAGAAGGTACCAATGTGCGATTTCTAAGGATAGATACAGCATTTGACCCAAGGTTTAAGAATCTGAAGTGCCATCCAAAATCTGAGAGGGACGAGGTGTGGAGATTGTTTTCAGATGTCTTAAAAGAGTAACATTCCAATGTGGAAACTACAGAACCCAAACTACCAAAAGAGAAAATCAACCTTCTGCTGGTGGCATCTAACTCAGATGATGAAAATGAACATGCGTCAGTCCGCTCTGCTTTGGATCGTTATCGAGCAGAACCCGTCATCAGCAGGGACACATATATTCTGGAATGGTGGTTGAAGCATGAAGGAACATATGAATCTTCAGCACATCTGGCATGTAAATATCTTGCAATGCTGGCTACAACAGTGCCATGTGAATGCCTGTTCTCACTTTCATATGGCATTGTAAACAAGATGTGGGCAGCATTATCGCCTGCAAATTGTAAACAAACTTGTTTGTCGGAGCGATTGGCTGAAGTAGGACTGAGTGGACTTGTAGGTTCTAATTTTATATTGTTTTATTTTTGAATGCAGTTATTTTTTGTACATAATTCTACATTTGTAAGTTCAACTTTCATTATAAAGAGATTGCACTACAGTACTTGTATTAGGTGAATTGAAATATACTATTTCTTTTGTTTTTTACAGTGCAAATATTTGTAATCAAAAATAAATATAAAGTGAGCACTGTACACTTCATGTTCTGTGTTTTAATTGAAATCAATATATTTGAAAATGTAGAAAACATCCAAAAATATTTAAATAAATGGTATTCTATTATTGTTTAACAGTGCGATTAATCGCGATTAATTTTTTAAATCACTTGGCAGCCCTCATATATATATATATATTTGTGGATCAATATACTTATTATTGAAATAATAATTATTGAAATCCATATTCATCTGTGTAGCTATTTGAAGATCAATAAGTGTATTATTGAAATGCAGACACCTTATCGTGGAGTGCAGCTGTTATTTAATAGTGCTCAGTAACAGTTTAAGACAGGACATGAAAACGTATACTCATTTCCAATTAAAACTGTAAGTAAAGAGTCAGAATGCAATTAGGCAAGAGCCACGGATGGATGTCAGGGGACAATCTACTCAAATTTATGATGGATGTCCAGGGCCCACAAAGAATTATTCCAGCAGTAAGAGCTTGTACAAGGAAAGGGATGTTCTGTACTCACCCTCTTTCTCCCTGGATTGCACCTTGCACTGGGGGCTGGGACAGGAGAAGCCTAGGAGCCACTTTGCCTGTTCTAGAACATCAATGATTACCCTAAATCAGGGACAATTTTACAGGGTCCAAACTTTAGGGTTGAGTGGCACAACAAGCATCTGGAACAGGGCCAAGAAGCTCATCTATAATCTTCAAACACCTCACAATAAAAGACATGACCATAAATGCCTATTTTTGTTATAATTTATTATTACATATTGCAATATTTCATCCATCTCCAACTGCACATTTTCCCCTAGGGAAATGGCCTGTAAAAAACATAACTAGGCAGATCCATCAGTATATTTTTACAGAGAAGCATCACGAACGTTACGAAAATCTATCTAGCTATCGCCCCACTGTCTTTTCCACTGAATGCATCCGATGAAGTGAGCTGTAGCTCACGAAAGCTTATGCTCAAATAAATTTGTTAGTCTCTAAGGTGCCACAAGTCCCCCTTTTCTTTTTACTTTTTTAGAGGAATCACATTGCATTTGAAAAACCTTAAGAATTTAATTCAAATATTATGGAGCTTGGTTTCTTACTTAGATTGATTAGGAAATCATTATACTGCATGATGAATATGGTATTGATTATTCAGCACAATACCGTAATTGTACTTGAGACAGGG